GAAATAGCATTTTGTTTAGAAATTTACAAAGAATCAATAAATGTTTCCCTTCATTATATTTCAATTAAATTAACTGTTCAAGATAAACCTAATCCATAAATCTACCCATAAACGCTGGTAGGTAAATATACTATGTGATTTCACAAAGTCTTAGCTACGTTTCTTACACTAGCATATATTAAGAAGTTAAAAATATCTTTACTAATGTAAAGTTCATATTATAAAGATAATAAAATAGTACTTACGTCCTGACGGCGAGAACTGACACTAGAACCACCTGCCAAACCGTGGTACAGACCACCATGGACGGCAGCTACCAAAGCACAGAGGATGGCAATCTACAAGGATAACCATTAAAGATTATAAATAGATAAATCTATGAGAAAAGGCAAGATTAATTTTAAGTGCAAGCTGTATTTGAAACCATGTTTTCAGTGTTAATTGAATATATTTAAAAATTTTATCACTGACTTTTTAACTTAAAGTGTCTTATATAAGTAGCTTCATTATATATTTGTTTTAAAAGGTTTAACGCATTTGAAATAATTTGTTCAGATCAATATTAGCTTATAGTAATATCGTACAACATTCCTTCATATAAGGATGTATAAAAGAGTTTTTAACATACGATAAGAAAGTCTGAAAAACAAAATACAGTCATCGAGATAAGTCTTTATCACGTATTTTCTTTATGTTACAATATAAGTCCATTTCAGTATGGCACCCATTTCAGTCATAGATAGACTGTATGTCACACAAAATTTACGCTCTTTAGGAAAGTTTCGGGGTTCAAAAGTACTGTATGACTTACCTTAGCGATCATGTTTCTGCTGTTTGACAACCTGGATCGAATGTTAAGTTTCACTGCTTTTCTTTCCACTTTTATAGCAGTATGTGACGTCATTACGACCTAGTAAAAATTGTTAACTTTATAACACGAGGTCGTTTTTCAACGCTTGCTACCGACTCGAAACATATGGCAACAAAAATAATTCAAGGCTATTTTTTGTTTCCTTCAGGCTCGGGTAGGACATAGATTCCATGTATTTTATTCAGACAATACCCGCGTTTATTTCCTATTATCTTTCTTACTGCAATCTTATTCGCTTGAGGGATTTGGAGTTTTCCGGTTGTTTCAGTTACTTGTGGAAAATACAAAAAAGCAGCAGATTTTACCGAAGATTCAAAACGTAACGTTCGCCGTGTACGTGGAGTAGACTTACTTCTTATTATGGTTTACAGTTCCCAGTCGAGACTTAGCTTTCTTCTTCCTTGGCTGTAGTTTGCTGCCTAATATTTGGCGCTTACTTGACTAAGCAATAAACTGGTAAGATGGTTCTCAATGGAAAAGCCAATATGCAATCCCGACTCCTCGGACAAATGCCTTTCTAATGTTCTGAGATTTGTAGCATTTGATCGAGGAATTTGCGAAAAAAGTTCCAGACAGAAAAACGCAAGCGTATTATTTATATAGATTTCGCTATTACATCTTCATCAGGAGCTAACTGATAACCTATAAGATTCTGGAGTTGAGAACTTGTAGGTTATCGATAACTTCTGGCTAAGCTGTAATAGTGAAATATTAAACCAATAAATGTACATTCTGTGGATATAGGTCGTTATATATATTTACATTTATAGAAATGTCTAATAATAATTGCCAGTTTATTCTACAAATTATCAAGCTTCACATCAACAATTTACCCAGAAAGATTTTACTAGAATCTAGAATTGATTGTTTGCAAGCTTGGCATCAACAATTTGACTAAGAAGACCTTACTAAAATCTTAGATTGTTGTTTCCAAGCTTAGCGTTAACATTTCAGCCATAAACGAAATTATTATAATCCCAAATTGTTATTTGCATGCTTGGCTTCAACATTTTAGCCAAAAACGATCTTAATAGAATGCCATATTGTTTGTTTGCGAACAAACTTGGCATTAACATTTCAGCCACAAACGACCTTACTAGAATTCCGAATTACTGTTTGCAAGTTAGCGTCAACAATTCAGTCAGAAAAACCCTCAAAGAATCCGAAATTGCTATTCACATGCTTGGTGTTAACATTTCAGTCGAAAATGATCGTAATAGAATCCCACATTACTGTTTGCAAGTTCGGCGTTAACAGCTCAGTCAGAAAGACCTACTGGAATCTCACATTGTTGTTTGCAAGTTCGGCGTTAACAGTTCAGTCAGAAAGACGTTACTAGAATCTCACATTGTTGTTTGCAAGCTTGGCTTTAACAGCTCAGTCAGAAAGACCTACTGGAATCTCACATTGTTGTTTGCAAGTTTGGCGTTAACAGTTCAGTCAGAAAGACGTTACTAGAATCTCACGTTGTTGTTTGCAAGTTTGGCGTTAACAGTTCAGTCAGAAAGACCTTACTAGAATCTCACGTTGTTGTTTGCAAGTTCGGCGTTAACAGTTCAGTCAGAAAGACCTTACTAGAATCTCACGTTGTTGTTTGCAAGCTTGGCGTTAACAGTTCAGTCAGAAAGACTTTACTAGAATCCCAAATTGTTGTTTGTAAGCTGGGCGTTAACTATTCAGTCAGAAAGACCTTACTGGAATCTCGCATTGTTGTTTGCAAGCTTGGTGTTTACAATTCATTTTGAAAGACCTTACTAGAATCCCATATCGCTGTTTGCAAACTTGGCGTTAACAAGTCCGTTAGAAAGATCTTACTGAAATCTTGGATTATTTGTTTAATAAATGAAAATTAGATACTGATACAGTATACATAAGTTGGTAATGCCGAAAAGGATCACGTTTCTTTTTTGGCGAAGTTTTCACAGTTATGAAAACGATTTTTCTCATTATTTTGTGAAGTCTGTGGTAACGTTTTGACGTTAAACAGCAGAAGTGTTATCAAATTCAACGAACAGCATAATTGCATTCAAGACGTAGTTTTTACGAAGACGACATCACAGTTATATATTTGGGATCAAATAAAATTTTTATACACATTCATAGCGATTAGGTTGTGTTTAGATAGCACAATGAGAATTTTTTTAATCAAATGTTTCATGTCTCGTACATATGTTTGTCGTTTTGATGACGAATACGCTTCATAAAAGGTATAATTCATTAGTATTTATGTTTATTTATCATCATTTGATATTATCAAAAATAAATAAAAACTGACGATTTTTCTTATTTAAATTGTTAACAGACAGCAGACGATAGTGGTGCAACAGGTATTCCGTCCACCAGCAGTGCATAGTAGCTACTATATAAAAAATTAATATCAACTGCTTGGCTGAACGGAGCTATGAGATATTCTGTGGATTATTACAATTAGAAATATGAGTTTAGATAAGCTACTCTCATTAAAACTTGCTTAATTATAGAATAATGTTGAAGACTAGGTCGTGTATTGAAACGGTACATTCGACTGTATTAAGTGTTGTCGCCCCTGCCAGAGGGCATGGAAACTTGAAAACGAGCTGTATTGGTTGGTACGATACTTTCAGTGACGACCTTGGCTCAGTTCTCACTAGGCCATATATTCTTACAAAGGGTGTGGTTGAATTACACACTCTATAAACCACTCATTGTGGCCTTCTGTAAGTTTCAACACAAACACTTGGAAAAGCCGTGATACGGAAAATATATTTAAACCAACCCTAACACCAACGCCCATGAAATAGCAGATCATTTTTATGAATAAAAACAATTATTGTAACGTGTTTTTTACAATCTCTTCACTTAAAAAACGTGACCCAATAATTGTATTGTCTCGCAGAATGCTACGCATAAAAATATGGTCAAATAAACGTTGATAACAACGAATTAAATCAACTATTTTCAGCCTAAAATCATTACATACATAATTGTTTACCGTTCACTACCGGTGAGGTCCACATATTGCATTGCATTGGGTCATTTTATATTTTTGCCTGTTATAACAATCAGTGTAAATAAGTGGCCAAAAAATAAGAAATGGCGGAAGCAGTTATTTTCCATGCTAACTTGAAAGGGGTCCCATCCATAGTTAGTGGAATTAATCGTGATGTTGCTGGTGACTCACATATTATAAGAGATTATTTAAACAACAAAGTCATAGACCCACATGTAATTTGGTGTGTAAATAGTTTAGGAGGATATCATTGTTGTTAGTTGTGATTTGGGACAAAGTTAAACAATGGGCTCTCTGCACTCTGTCCACCGTGTAAGATCAGAAACTTAACGTTAATCCACTGGGGGACTTTGGTCCCTTTTAGAAATCTGATGGGATCGATAATTCTAAGACTGATAAATTTGGTCAGTTTTAATGGTTAGTGGAAGTTATATTTTAAGGTTTTATCCTGACTCGTTTGTATTGCTGATGAGACATATTGACGAGTCATCAAAATTCATAGCATGACGAGAAACAAAATGCGGGTTATTTAGACCCACCTTTCTTCAGTAAACAAGATAGTTAATGTAATAGTTTGAACAGTAAAACTTAGTATGTGCTTAAATGCAAGCCGTTATGTGAAGTAATGCACTGAAATATAAGGAATGAAAAAAAAATTAGCCCTCATTGTACTTATTTGAAATGACTTCTTAGAAGTATTGATTTTTTCTATATTTTTTATGCGTGATATTCAAAGATCTTCATATTGTAACTCTTTTGGTTCCAAAAAAAAGATAAGCTAACCCACTTTAAGTGAATGTAAAACTTTCACCCTTAGTTGTTAAAAGCACCTGACCGCTTAGTTTGCCAGTGGAATATTTATTTTAATATTGTTTATTTCTACAACGTGTCATATTTATAACCATTTCAGTACAAAATGCTATTAACATTTTGTATTATACGTGAAATTTTAAAATTGATACAATACTAGATGGTTATTTAAAACTTGATGTGTCTGTGTGTGTGTATCTTTTTATTGTTTTTTTATTTCAAGAATAAAGTCAATACTTCGAGTTTGAACCAGCAAGCCTGATATTAGTCTCTAATAAACATGGCCGTTGGATGTATCACATCTATGATCGATGCCAATATCATTTTAAACACAAAATGAAGACCAATTTCATGAGAGATAGATGGAAAAAAATAACTTATCGACGAACATGTTTCGCGACAGCTTCGTCTTTCCTCGAGACTGTGAGGTTGGGAACCGCACAAGACCAGCTCATGTCATCATCAAAAGTAATAGGCCAATATCAAGACTGAAACTGCCCATTAATTGATCTTTGAGATGACAAGACTGACCTGGGTAGAATATGTCTTGCAGTAATCTTTATTTTGTACTTTAGTCCTATTTAACCATATCATTTTTGAGTAAATTCTCTCCTGTAACCTTGATATTTTATGCGGCAGAAACGTTGTACGGTTCAAATTTATAATGGACTGCTCCTGCTTGTTTCTTGCAATCAGAATGCACACGAATACAAATATAATAAGTCATTTTCCTAGTTAAGATTATATTTTGAGTGATAAAATTCCAGTAATAAAGTAAAGTAACTGAAATGTTTCCATAGGTTACCCTAACACTTGAAGTGTGCTTCTTATCTAAGAATGCTGATTGGTTACGCTGGCAAAACATTGAATTTTCCGTTACAGATTTAAGCCATTAATTTTCGATTATTTGTAAATTTGGTTTCCTAACTTAATATATTAATTTCACTCGCTGTGTCTAATTTGTCGGGTGGTTTTAGAGAGTTTGAAAGTGAAAAAGACTATTATTTTGTTACACAACTGTTTGTATACTTATTTCTTCTACAAAATCACTACAGCCAGGTTTCCTACTTAAATTACGAATATGGGAAGTTCTTAATTGAAGAAGTAAAATGCATATATATACAAGAAAGAATATATATGCATTCAACGGTATTTTAAGAATCCAAATCCATAAGCTGGGGCCCCGTAGATTCTAGCTGCATAGACAATGGTTCGATATGTTCCAGCAGCGTAAGCAGGGGTTTCATAGATACCAGTAGCATGTGGTGGTTTCATAATCCATAGGCACGGGCAGCAGAAACATGAGCCTTCACTACAGCAGGTCCGTGAGCGACAACATTTAGTTGGTTGGAGGCCACAACGGCTGCAGCAGGAGCACAAGCGGCGGTATCTGGTTCTTTGGTCTTTACCACAGCACGAACATCGGCACCATCAGCAACATACTCAACTCTGCGGGCACGTCCGTCGATGTCAGTTAGACTGTAGGCTCCACGTTTGTTTCCGTAGCTGTCTCCAGCCTCCCCACGGCCTTTGGTGGCCCAAACTGGGCCAATAATGTCGTAGTCCCCAGAGTCCTGAAAATAAGTAAAAAACGGAATTTTGTTTAGACATTTACAAAGAATATATAAATATTTGCCTTCAATAATTTCTTTTAGAATTAAGTTTAATCAATTGATTTCTCTGAAATATAATGTGTAACTATAGCAATAAATGTTGGTAGATAAACAGGCTAGGTAATTCAACTTATTAGCTTTAGCTGAATTTCTTTCAATAGCCTCTATCATGGAATTAAGGAGATATTTAACAAGATAATACTCCCCTCCCCTCAGTGGCTCAGCGATAAGTCAGTCGTCTTATAATGCTAAAAATCGGGTTTCGATACCAGCGGTGGATAGAGCACAGATAGCCCATTGTATAGCTTTGTTCTTTACAATACACAAACAAACAAAAATAAAATGAAATGTTATTACGTCCAGGCAACGAAAACTAACACTGGAGCCCCCAGCTAAAACGAGTAACAGACTACAACGGCCGTCAGCTACCAGGGCACAAGGATGGTAATGTGAAAAATAGAACCCATTAAAAGATCTATATGTTATACACAAAAAATAAATTTATTTAAATATTTCTGTGGTCCTCTCAGATAAACGGTTTTCCGTGCAGGTATCGTATACGGAATTTGTGAAGCAATTTAAAAACTGCCTGGGTTTTAAGCTGAGTGAAACATAATGGGACTGGAATGTAACGTTAGAAGAAAAAGTCTTTATTAACGATACAATAACAACAACAGTGTGTATACTTGTGTAGATAAGTTACGATCGCCTCTATTGGATTACTGAATTGGTCAGCAGTCTACTGTCGAGCTAAACATTTGGATAACCAGGTAGATCTGATAGAGAGAATAAAGGGTCCGACTTAGCAAGAAATCTGGTATTATTTCTCTCACGATAGCATCACCATTTGACGGGCCATTCCCCTACAACATTCATTGGCTGGAAAAAACGATAAATGTAGGTGAAGTTGCAGTAATATCCCCGCTAGCAGAGTAGTGTTAACTGCTACTGAGAACAAGAAATACAGAAAGCCAATCATAACGACACTATTTAAACGGTTTTCTGTTTATACCAAACCACAAAAGAAACAAATTTAACGAAACCTTTAAAAGGTTCTACGTTATTAAAAATGGTGTAAAACACATGATACACCTTCATGTCACACTTCTTCCTGTGATTAGTTCCCCCCAGTAGCACAACGGTATGTCTGCGGACTTACTAACGCTAGAATCCGGGTTTCGATACCCGTGGCGGGCAGAGCACAGATAGCCCATTGTGTAGCTTTGCGCTTAATTAGAAACAAAAAACCTATGATTAGATCCCAAGATAAGAAAAATAGTTATTTTTTTCAAAACTTTTCACAAACTTAATAATCTGTGTGAATTAAAAAGTTTTTGAATTGTTTGTTTGTAATTAAGCACAAAGCTACACAATGGGCTATCTGTGCTCTGCCCACCACGGGTATCGAAACCCGGATTCTAGCGTTGTAAGTCCGCAGACATACCGCTGTGCCACTGGGGGCAAGTTTTTGAAAGTAGAACAACTGTCTAGTTGAACTCAATAACGTGTGAAAATGACTTTAAAAAAGCAAGCAGTAAGTATTAAAACTAAACATCAGAAATTGCACTTTTGATAACTTATAAAGGAAGTCCTATTCTTGACAGAATCTGTTACAAAATCAACACAAAATTTATAAACAGAGAAGAAAGAAAGGTGTTAGTAATAACGGTTAGTCAACGGTACAATTTACAAATACATACAGAATAAAAGATGCGTTAGGCCTATTGATTTCCAATGCTTTCCCAGCTTTCGACAGTTATATCGCAACTTATAACTGAGTAATCTGTGGATAGTAAGTACAAAGATTTCGAAGTATTTTATTACTAACGAAGCAAGTGGATTCTGATAACTTCTTCACAACCATTTTCCTAGTTCTCAAAATACAGTTATTGTGGTAAGGTATAGGTAATGAGATGTCAATCGTTATCAGGGTTGGTCGCCTATACGACAACCTCAGTCTAATAATTAATTTTTTTCAATCCCAGATACAAGTTACTAATTGAGTTGTATTCTACATAACTAATTAACAACTAGAGCTTAAGTGATCGTTCAGGCCAAACTAAGACAATAAACCAAAGTATGGTTAAAGAAAGAGACGATCCTCTATTGTTGTGGAGTACTATATGAATCAATACTCTTTAAAGAGCTGGTGGACCTCGTAACTTGTAACTTTTTTCCACTATTGTGAACTTGCAAGATTTTATAGTTATACGACTGTATAACTACATAACATTATTTCAGCTTAGCTCCAGTAGCGTAGTAAAGCAGGTACTTGTGTTTGTATTTCGACAGGCATATTCAGGCCTGTTGCCAAAGATTTGGGGTACCAAAAACGAATTGAAAATATGGGATTATTTGAACAACAGTGAATTCGCATGCATTTTATTGCTTTTCAGATTAAAATAAATAAAGTAGTGTACAAAATAAGTCAAAATACCTTTATGATCAAATTATTTAAATCCATTAAGTTACGTACTCTCACACCAGTCTTTAAAGGCCATTTACATCATACGTCAGTCTTACTCGCATATTATTTATACTTTGGAGACTAAATTTCAGAAAAAAAGAATATTATGATTTTTCTTTCTCAAGAATAAAGTATAGGGGGAGTTCCGGAGATGTTTTGCCTGGAGAACCTTGTACAATTGTACGAGATGAATGTAGGCCCTGGTCACAATAATGCGTAAAAACAGATGTGTAGCTTAGCTTTATGAATACTGATTCACAACAAGGGGAATATTTTTACTCAAATGTGTGAAAATATGGTATTTCCATGAATTTTATTGTTGACATTTTTATGTCATTTCTAACAATTCAGAAAGAACCTGTACACGTTAATATATTGTTTGGGAAATGTTTAGTGAGCTATCTGATCATAAATGTCAAAATAACTAAACTGTGAACTTTGGAACTCAAAACATTATTATAAAAAAATTTATTTTATGTTGGTACAAAACACATAGCTAATGTCTTGTGGTGTTTGATGTGTTGATATACACGAAAAAGAAAACAACAAAAAGTTTTATCTTCATTTTTGTTTCTGGTTAAGTATAAAGTTACACAATGGGTTATCTGTGTTCTGCCCACTGCATGTATCAAAATCCAGTTTTTAGCGTTACAAGCCCACAGAATTACCGCTGAGCCACCAGGGAGCTTCATAAAAGAAGAAATATAAACATTTTTCATTCGCTGTTAACGTGTGATAAATTATCGCACTTAAACTAAAAGAAGTATTTGATTATCCAGAGAAATAATTAGTTTATAGCTCGACTTTCAATGTAATGACACTTTTATTCTACAAGATGTAGTGTTGAAAGAGAAACGGAAAGTAATCGATACCAGTTCTTCTGTGACGATCAAGTCATTTATATTACATAAACACGGACCTTACACGGGGATATGAACAGAAACAAACGTTTTTTAAATTAAAGTTTCAGCTTGAAGGAAGGCAAAAAGTGAAAAAGTTTTCTCTCAGTTTTTGACCTTTTTGGAAGACACTGGTAAGACAGGGTTCTGTTTCAGCAAAGAGAGAGGAAAGCAGTCGACAGTAAGAAATGGAACTTAAGTTTGTCGAGACCTTGCAGATTGGACAGTTAGTGGCCGAAACAGAATATTATATGAGAGAGAATTAGTATGTTAGATTAATTAACGGAAGAAATGATATATTTTATATATATAAATATATTTAATGGTATTTGAATAACCCAGCTCCATGGAAACCGGCGGTGTAGACAGGAGATCTGTAAATACCAGCAATGTAGATACCAGTGGCGTATACTGGGGCTCCATATGCATAAGCAGGGGCAGCAGTAACATGCGGCTTCACTGCAGCAGGTCCGTGAGCAACAACGCCAGGTTGGCAGGAGGCCACAACGGATGCTGAAGGAGCACTAGCGGTGATACCTGGTTCGTTGGACTCAGGGCCGGCGCCAGACTATTTTGCGCCCTAGGCAAGGCCAGCTACTTGTTATGTTTTTTCTTAAAACAACTAATTTGTATAAAACTGTGACCCTTAAAGGTCAGTACTGCGCCCTAGGCGGCTGCCTAGTTGGTCTTATGGTAGCGCCGGCCCTGGTTAGACTTTACCACTTCACGGAAACCGGCACAATCAGCAAGGTACTCACTCTGCGGGCACGGCCATCGATATCATTCGGACCGTAGGCTCCACGTTTGTATCCGTCTCCAGCCTCCCAACGGCCAATGGTGGCTTCAACTGGGTCAACAATGTCGTAGTTGAAGGCGTAGTTACTAAAGTCCCGAAAGCCGGATAGAAAAGAAAAGAAAATGATGTTTGTTTAAAATTTACAAACAGTCGCAAAACATTGTCTATGTTAATTTTCATTAGAATTAAGCTACATTAAATATTTGCCCTAATATATAGTGTATAACTATAGCGCTAATCGCTGGTATGTAAATATAGTATGTAATTCCGCTTATTAGCTTTATTAGCGTCTATTCAGGCCAAAAATAGTTACCCTTGAAAAGATATTTGCAATGTTACTTACGTTCTGGTGAAGAGAACTGACACTAGAGCTGCCAACCAAACCATGGTACAGGCCAAAATGGACAACTACCAGGGCGCAAAGCATGGCAATCTGAAGAATGAAAATATAAAAATACCTAAACGTTATATACAAAAATTATATGTGTTTGAATGCCTCATCCTATGATTAAATCCAAAGATGGGAAAAAAGGTTATAATTTAAACGTTTTTAGATAATTTAAAGATTTTGTGTGAATTAACCAAGAAAAACTTTCTGAAAGTGAAACAACTGTATAGTTGAGATGAATAACATTAGAAAGTGATTTATAGATAAGAAAGAAAGAAATATTCAAAACTAGGCATCAGAGAATCCACTTCTTTTTGATTTATAAAGAAAATCCAATTCTATTTCGTGTATGAAGTTTATGAATATAAAACGAAAAGGATACGTTTCGGCAGCAACACTAAATTTATAAACTGGGGGGGAAAGATGTGTGATATAGTTTCAACAATAAACTTTGATAATATAGAGAGAAAATAATAGATGTTAAGGCTTCAACAATAAAGTCTACAGTTGCGGTATCTTTTAACGTAAACTGAATTTAACTTAACTTTTCGTTAATTGTTAGTATTTCCTAATAATGTAAACTTCGGGTAACATTTAATTTTATCATAACATTGTTTTGCCTTTATTGAGCTTTGCTCAACGATTGCTTAGTGTAGGAGTGTTTAGCTTTACTTTGTTGAGGTTAATAGTGCTACATTTGTGACTTGGAGTAGTTGTATTCATCGTCAGTAAATATAATTTTGATTTTAACTTTTATTGCTAACTTTGGGACCATTTCCTTTTTTAATTATAGTGATAACTGTACTTATAGGGGGGGCGGATACTGAACTGATAAAAGCTTTTGAATGAAGTCTTCATTTTTCTCTCATCAATTCGACACACACCACTGAACACATGCCCTTGTTTTATTTATGTTATTGTATTTTGTTATTATTTCTGTAAATAAATATTTGTGGACTCGTGAATCTATTGTTGTCGAGTCTTTCTCCAAGATGATCCTGCCTGTAGATCAAAAAAGGTCAATAAACTACGTGGTCCGGTATTTTCCAAACCTCCATTTAGTGTGTCTAACTTTCTGCTTTGCAGCAAAATCCCTTCCCACACGATATATAACAAAATATACAGAAAGTGAAACGTTTGTAGAAATAATTAGTTTGATTTTTGATAACGTATAGTTAAAGATAAATAATTTTCTAATCAATGAAAGAGTTCCCGATATTACATCTCAACTTCTTTGTGGTCATGGTAGTTTAGTATGGTTTAAACGTGTATTTTATTATTTTGTTGTTTATTTTATGATCTCGTAGTATTCCAAAACATATACAACTATATATGTGACATTCTGAAAATGAAAACTGTCATCGACAATACGTTAAACGTTTCACAACTTCTATCGTGGATATAATAACAATTTGTTTCGGTTTTCATGTTTCTCGTTGATGTTGTTTTTTATTTTAGCAACAGTAAGTATAGTAATATCATTATGTCTCCGCAGAGGTACATACTGTTTTTCTATTGTTTCTTCTTCTTTCTTTCTTTCTTTCTTCTTTTTCCAAACACTTTTCATTTTCTTCATTTCTCGACGGATTAACTTGAAACTTGGTAGAGTTATATTTTGGTCTAATACGTCTAGGCAACTTTTTCATTTAGTCCTTTTTAAGGATTTTATGGCGTCAAAAGTCAAACAATCCAAAAACTTATATTTTGGGCTTCTGTGCGATCATATGCACAACAACCAAGGTGAAAATTGGCATAAATATAATTTTTCATTCGCCTAACACATTGAAAAGTTGGACTTGCCTATTTAGCGAAGTCAGAGCTCACAAAAACAGCATCATTTTGGGAGTTTTGGTCACATTGACCATATTTTGACAAATTTACATGAGATTTGGTTCAAAGATACTTTTCTACAGGACCCAAATAAAAGTGGTGGACTTACCAATTTTTAGTAACTGTAGGAGCCAAGATGCCACAAAAAGCATACTTTTAAGGGTTTTTGAAATTACTCCGACGTATTTTGGACAATTTACATGGATATTTTTTTTACAGGTACCAAACAGATATATATATAGAATTTTGTTAAATTTTTCAATGAGAAAATCACAATTTTGGGTTTTCGTGAACTATTCATGTGTATGTCAACCAACTTACATGAGATTTAATAAAAAAGATACCTTCTTGCGGATCCCAAGCACAGATATAGACAGTCTTCGATTTTTCTCGTGTAAAAATTGGCCATGTTGAAATTGCGTGACAGATTCGCCTGCAAATGTTGGCCTCTTTAATTTGTAAATTATTTATTTATTTTTACCATTATACTCTAGAATAATCTCATCCATAAAAATAAAATTAAGAGTAATATGAAGCAATATAATGGCCTAAAGAAATTAAAGGACTAATTGTTGCAAATTTACTATTGAATTAGACCGTTCGAAAGATTTCCGTATTTCCCGAGTGTTGAACAAGTTGGAGGTTGAGTTGAAAGTCCTTATTAGAGCCAACTTATAGTAAATAGTTAAATGAATTATCAAGTGTTTTCATGTTTTACTTATTTTGATTATAAAATACATTATTTCTAGGCCCGGCATGGCCAGGTGGTTAAGGAGCTCGATTCGCAATTTGCGGGTCGCGAGTTCGAATCCCAGTCCCACCAAACATGCTCGCCCTTTCAGCCGTGTTATAATGGATCGGTCAATCCCACTATTCGTTGGTAAAATAGTAGCCCAAGAGTTGGCGGTGGGTGGTGATGCGTA